TTTACATGTGTTCCCCATCCCGATCCTCCCTCCCACCTCCCTCTCTACCCAATCCCTCTGAGTCTTCCCAGTGCACCAGGCCCGAGCACTTGTCTCATGCATCCAACCTGGGCTGGTGATCTGTTTCCATTCACCATTTCAACAAAAAGAATAAAATATCTAGGAATAAACTTACCCAAGGAGACAAGCAAACTGTATACAGACAATTATAAGACACTGATGAAAGATATCAAAGATGACATAAACACATGGAAAGATATTCCATGTTCCTAGGTAGGAAGAAGCAATACTGTGAAAATGACTATACTACCAAATGCAATCTACAGATTCAATGTGATCCCTATCAAATTACCAATGGCATTTTTCACAGAACTAGAACAAAAAATTTCACAATTCATATGGAAACACAAAAGACCCCAAATAGCCAAAGCAGTCTTGAGAAAGAAGATTGGAGCTGGAGGAATCAACTTTCCTAATTTCAGATTATACTACAAAGCTACAGTCATCAAGACAGTATGGTCCTGGCACAAAAACAGAAATATACACCTATGGAACAAGATAGAAAGCCCAGAAATAAACCAATGCACCTATGGGTACCTTAGTTTTGACAAAGGAGGCAAGAATATACAATGGGGCAAAGAGAGCCTCTTCAATAAATGGTCCTGGGAAAACTGGACAGCTACATGTAAAAGAAAGAAATTAGAATGCTTCCTGACACTATACACAGATAAACTCAAAATGGATTAATGACCTAAATGTAAGACCTGAAACTATAAAATTCTTAGAGGAAAATATAGGCAGAACACTCGATGACATAAATCAAAGCAAAATCTTCTATGACTCACCTCCTAGAGCAACAGAAATAAAAACAAAAGTAAACAAGTGGGACCTGATTAAACTTAATAGCTTTTACACAGCAAAGGAAACTACAAGCAAGCTGAAAAGACAACCCTCAGAATGGGAGGAAATAATAGCAAATGAAACAACTGACAAAGGATTAATTTCCAAAATATACAAGCAGCTCATACAACTCAATACCAGAAAAACAAACAACCTAATCAAAAAGTGGCAAAAAAACCTAAACAGACATTTCTCCAAAGAAGACATACAGATGGCTAACAAACACATGAAAATGAGCTCAACATCGCTCATTATTACAGAAATGCAAATCAAAACTACAATGCGGTATCACCTCACTCCAGTCAGAATGGCCATTGTCAAAAAGTCTACAAACAATAAATGCTGGAGACAGTGTGGAGAAAAGGGAACACTCTTGCACCGTTGGTGGAAATGTAAATTGATACAGCCACTATGGAAGAGGGTATGGAGTTTCCTTAAAAACCTAGGAACAAAACCACCATATGACCCAGCAATCCCACTCTAGGCATATACCCTGAGGAAACCAAAATTGAAAAAGACACATGTATCCCATTGTTCACTGCAGCACTATTTGCAATAGCTGGAACATGGAAGCAACCTAGATGTCCATCAACAGATGAATGAATAAAGAAGTTGTCATACATACACAATGGAATATTACTCAGCCATAAAAAGGAACACATTTGAGTCAGTTCTGATGAGGTGGATGAACCTACAGCCTATTATACAGAGTGAAGTAAGTCAGAAAGAGAAAGTTAAATATTGTATACCGATGCATATATACCAAATCTAAAAGTTGGTACTGAAGAATTTATTTGCAAGGCAGCAATGGGGAAACAGACATAAAGAATAGACTTATGGACATGGGGAGAGGGGTGGAGAGAGGAGATGTATCGAGAGAGTAACATGGAAACTTACATTACCATATGTAAAACAGATAGCCAAGGAAATTTGCTATATCTCTCAGGAAACTCAAACAGGGGCTCTGTATCAACCTAGAGGGGCAGGATGGGGAGGGAGATGGGAGGGAGGTTCAAAAGGGAGGAATATATGTATAGCTATGGTTGATTTATGTTGATGTTTGACAGAAAACAACAAAATTCTGTAAAGCAATTATCTTTCACTTAAAAATAAATAAAATTTAAAAACTCTAAGTTTCATTACATCATTTAATGGTTAAAGAATATACAAACAAATTTTAAAATAACAGACTTGATTTCAGTGTAACACCATTTCAAACTAATAGGTTTGCTAAGTAACACTTTAGGGACCCCAGATCATGTTTTCATTTTCAATCACTGTAATACTTGCCTGCTCATGAATAATGTCAGACAATTCTTTCACCATGTCTCTGAAATTTGACGTGAGCTCTTCATGGTGTTCAATCTGATCCTCTTTCATTAACCACTCATTTAGTTCCAGTGCAATGCTGCAAGTTTGGATGAACTTCCTGTAGATGAAGATCAAAGATAAAGTTTTTGTTACTTATTACTCAGAAGTCTCACTGACAATTTAATATTTACTTTAACCACGGCTTGACTAGAAGGAAGATTAGAATTCCACATTTTCTCACTGTGTTTTTGCTAATGCCATCTCCTAAGTCTGAAATATCTTTTCTTTTCCATCTTTGCTTCTGGTTTCTTATCTCTTTCAAAATCTAGCTCAAAATATATACCCTCTAGGAAGCCTACCTGCTCAGTCATTTACTTGATATGATATCAGCTATGGTTGTGCTCACAGTAATTTATATCTGTAGATAATGTCATTTATTCAAAAATAACTTATTTGGGGCTATGTACCCAGTACAGTGCTGAGTGTTATAGGCATGAAGTATCTGCCCTGGGTTGGTAAAAGTGGCGACAGGGAGTTGATGACTTATCATAAGAATATTTTTCCATTATTTCATATATTTATGTTTAATGTCCATAATTAGAATGCAAAACTTAGGGGACAAAGTACCTCACTGACCATTTGTTCTGTATCCCTAGCATAGCAACTAGTAGAATCTTTTTGTACATGCCAGGCATTAATACAGAGAAGGCAATGGGACCCCACTCCAGTGGTCTTGCCTGGAAAATCCCATGGATGGAAGAGCCTGGTGCACTGAAGTCCATGGGGTCACTAAGAGTCGGACATGACTGAGCAACTTCACTTTCACTTTTCACTTTCATGTGTTGGAGAAGGAAATGGCAACCCACTCTAGTGTTCTTGCCTGGAGAATCCCAGGGACGGGGGAGCCTGGAGGGCTGCCATCTCTGGGGTTGCACAGAGTCAGACATGGCTGAAGTGACTTAGCAGCAGCAGCAGCAGGCATTAATAAATACTGAATGAATGACCACTGGTTACTCTGTAACCTGAAATAGCTGATAATACAGAGTTAGGAAAAATAAATGAAGTTGGGAGCAAATGAGTGGAAGTTATCTTTCTAATCAGTCTGCTTTACTCATCTGTCTCTTTTATTCTGAATGTAAATTCTTTTATATACAAAACAATTTTTTTCTACTGTGTGACCATTCAAACATGTCTTGGCTTAGAGGGACTCTCAGTCCAGAGACAATATCGTATGCCCTAGACTGGCAGAATCCAAGTGGAACTAAGGATACAGGATAGAAGTAAGCCTACCCAACCCTTCCTACCTTAAATGATCTGGAAAAGCTGTGACATGAGGTCAGTCAGACAAAGGAGGAAATCACGTAATGAATGTAGGCTTCTGTTTGTGTCACAATATCCACAGCAATGAAGTGGTTGCCATATTTAATGCCTTGAATCACTAGGAGATTGTTACAGTTCTGCAGCAAGAAAGAGATCACACATTCCCTCACTACCTAAAATACCATTAGAAGGTAACTTAAATGTTATAAAAGGGAACAGATAATTTTTTTAGGGGGACATTATTTGGTGAATATTTTGGTTTCACTTAAGAAGACAATGGAGTAAAAAAAAATAGTGGTCTGATCTGAAAACTACAAAGCACATACCTAAACATGTCTTTCAACTCATTTACTTTTTTGGGTTGATACTTGATAGCTTGACTGTCATTTAAGAAAGCCGATACTTGATAGCTTGACTGTCATTTAAGAAAGCCCTTGCATATGCTAATGGACCTGCATTTACCTAAAATACAATAGGAGAAAAATGAGAGTTGTCAGAATGTAATTAAAAAGTAATTTTTGCATTTCTCTTTTTAAAAAGAATAATATATTAAAGATCCATACCTGAGAAACATATTTACTATCTTATTATAAATTTATTTGAAAAAGATTAGCTAAAGCAAATCATCTGCCAAAATTATACTCTAAGAAGTTACTTAACACTTTCTGCTATCTAAATGTAGGACTTGGCTATAGTCAGAGGGATTTACATTAAAGCTCTCTGACATAACAAAAAATTTACAGAAACTGAACATAATGTCTTTATTAAATTAATAAAAAATGTAGAGGTTTTTGTACCCAGTCAGAGTGTAAGACAATTACAATTAGTGCTTGTTCTGTGCCCTTATGAAAGCAAGAGGAACAACAAGAAACATTTAATACATGGTTAGCAACCAACATACCTGCACTGAAACACAGCCCTGCAATTTAAGTTGGAGATGAATCATGTCCACGTCAGCAGAAAAGCAAAACTTTTGCAGCTCTGCAGTTTTATCTTTTATTTTATCCGTGGCAACATCAATTGGCTTTAAATGAATCTGCTGTTCATAGTTTATAGAAATCCTCTACTTCACATATGGAAATGAGTTTGAAGCTATTAAAGATTAAGATTGACAAATGAGTTTTTAAGATAGTAAATCAAATAGCCAAATTAAAGAAAAAAACCTATTGTGCTTAATTCTCCCCATATTTTCTCTGGAAAATCCCTTAGAGACCAAATAGGTGCCTTATTACTTCAGGACTGAAGGAGAAATTCTCTGTGAGATGACTCAGACTAACCATGAATTACATAATTACATATGGGAAAGGAATGGTTTATAACATAGCCATGTTTGTGTAAGTGAGTGACTGAACAGCAGAACAATAAACAATTAAAATTTCAATTACATTTTCCTGCTGACCAGCTGCTGCTTGTATGTATCCAAAAAAAAAATCATGTCAAATAAAGAAGTTATGCCAAGTCCTACTTACTAGTCAAGATTGTACGGCGTTTGCACTGTTCTTCTATGCAACCTTGCTTTTTGCCTGACAATGTATAAGGAGCCTCAAAAACAAATCTGTTGATATGGTTTCTTTCAAACTCAGTTTTTCTTTCTGTGAGTTCTTTATCATCAAAGTAGGGCTTCACATAAGTGACTTGGATATGAGCATATTTGGGATCAAGCTCTTTGACATTTACCTGGAAAGTAAGAAAGTTTTGTTTTTTATTCAACAGAAGGGAAAATGGAGTACAGGTAAGCTACTAACACCTCTGAGATCAACTGAGGAACAGTGTCATTGAATACACTGTGAGATGAATACACACTTGGAAGAGGTCTTTGCTCTTTCTTCAAGGATTGTTTCCTTCTGATTATTAAGAAGTTACATAAGCCTATTTGGAGATTATAGAAATGTAGACAGAAAAAAACTGCAATGCTACCACTCAGCAATGATCAACATTTACCTTCTCATGTATTTCCTTGTAATCTTTTTTGCTATGCACATATATTTACAAACCGGAGATCATCCTGAACATTGCTTTATAATTTGCTTTCCTAAAAATATACTAAAATGGCTAACTGAACATTTGAATTCCACCTCAAAAAATACCTATTACAGAGAGGATCCTCAGAAGATGGCAGAGCACCAGACACCTATCTTCTTATAGAGACAATAGTTACACCGTCATTACCTATCTGATGGAACAATTTTGGAACTCTGGAGGCTATTGAAGACTTGCAACTTCCAGGGAAAGATTTGAACAGAAAATTACCTTAATTTTGATTTTGTTCAATTTTAACTCTGGGCACAATGGCAGCAACCCATACCTCATCCCTCAGGTACTACGGCAGATAGTTGTGTACATATTCCTAGAACAGCTTGTGGGAGCCAGGATGAACAAAGGCCCTGTCTTCCAAATATCGTGAATCTGTGCTATGACTGCTGATTGCTGCTTCTAATCACAGGGGGACAGTCAAAGAGGCTATGGCCATTTTTATACCACTTCTTCCCTTTGTTGCAATGCCCTCCCCCTCTGCCTAAAGTGACTTTCAGGGGATTTAACAGACCAGCACCTTTCCTCTCCTCTTCATTTTCCTCTCCATCCCCTCTTAGGAGCTGGACTTCCAATACTAGGCCGTTCAATGGTAACTGCATAAATGAGGGTGACTAGAAAGTCACTGTGCATACTCAGGGGAAGGCACAGGCTCAGAAAATACTTGAGAAGATCTCAAATTTACACCTCAGGCTGATTCTTGGGACAGACACAGCTTACAACAATTAAAAACAAAAACAAAACCCAGGAAACTCGGGGACAGGGAGAGAATCTGATATCTAGAGAGATCACAATTTTAAATTCAAATGTCCAGTTTTCAACAACAACAACAAAAAAAATTGCAAGGCATACAAAGAAATAGGAAAGTATGGCCCATACAATAAAGAAAAATAAACCAATAGAAATTATCACTGGAAAAAAAACGTGATAGCAGATCTCCTAGAAAAAGACATTAAAACAACAGTATTCATGATCAAAGATCTAAGGGAAGCTGTGGAAAAAGTCAAGGAAATTATGTATCAACAAAATGCCGATGTCAATAAATAGCTAGAAAATGTAAATTGAAACCAAAACCTTTTTTTTCAGAGCTGAAAAATACAATAACTGAAATAAAACATCACCAAAGGGATTCAAAGACACATTTCAGCTGGTGTAGCCAATTTGAAGATAAGACAATGTCAATGATCGATGAGAGGAACACAAAGGAAAAAGATTGAAGAGGGACAGAGGCTACGGAACCTGAGGAATATCATCCAGCAAGTGAACGTGCACACTATGGGAGTCTGTGAAGGAGAAAAGAGAGAGAAAGGGGCAGGGAGACTATCTGAAGAAATAATGGTTAACCACTCAAATCTTATAAAAGACACAAAACTCAACAAACTCCAAGCAGGGTAACTCAAAGAGACCCACACTGAGACATATTAAAATCAAATGTCAAAAGTCAAAGCCAAAGAGAGAATTTTTTTCTTTTTAAAAAAATTAATTTATTTACTCTAATTGAAGGCTAATTACTTTACTATGGCAAAGAGAGAATTTTGCAAGAAGCAAGAGACAAAGACTTGTCACATACAAGGGATTCTGAATAAGATGGTCAGATTTCTCATCGGAAACTTTGGGGGTCAGAAGGCAGTGGACTTCTAAGAAAAAACAAATCTATTAATCAAGAATTCTATATCTGGCAAAACTGTCCTTAATAGTGAGGGAAAAATTAAGACATTAATTAATTAATTAATTAAGATAAAGAAAAGCTGAAGGAGTAAATTACCACTCAGTTCGCTTCAGTTACTCTGTCGTGTCCTACTCTTTGCGACCCCATGGACTGCACCACGCCAGGCTTCCCTGTTCCTCACCAACTCCTGGAGCTTGCTCAAACTCATGTCCATTGAGTTGGTGATGCCATCCAACCATCTCATCCTTTGTCATCCCCTTCTCCTCCTGCCCTCAATCTTTCCCAGCATCAGGGCCTTTTCCAATGAGTCAGTTCTTTGCATCAGGTGGCCAAAGTATTGGAGTTTCAGCTTCAGCATCAGTCCTTCCAATGAATATTCAGGATTGATTTCCTTTAGGATGGACTGATTGGATCTCCTTGCAGTCCAAGGGACTCTCAAGAGTCTTCTCCAGCACCACAGTTCAAAAGCATCAACTGTTCGGCACTCAGCTTTCTTTATAAATAAAGTCCAACCCTCACATCCATACATGACTACTGGAAAAACCATAGCTTTGACTACATGGACTTTGGCAGCAAAGTAATGTCTCTGCTTTTTAATATGACGTCTAGGTTGGTCATAGCTTTTCTTCCAAGGAGCAAGCCTCTTTTAATTTCATGGCTGCAGTCACCATCTGCAGTGATTTTGGAGCCCAAGAAAATAATGTCTGTCACTGTTTCCATTGTCTTCCCATCAATTTGCCATGAAATAGTGGTACCGGTTGCCATGATCTTCATTTTTTGAATATTGAGTTTTAAGCCAACTTTTTCACTCTCCTCTTTCACTTTCATCAAGAGCTCTTTAGTTCCTCTTCACTGTCTGTCATAAGGGTGGTGTCATCTGCATATCTGAGGTTATTGATATTTCTCCAGGCAATCTTGATTCCAGCTTGTGCTTCATCCAGTCTGACATTTTGTGTAATGTACTCTGCATATAAGTTAAATAAGCAGGGTGACAGTATACATCCTTGATAGTTGTAGGGATTAAATTATTCAATGTATGGAAAGTGATTGGAGTTCCTGATACATAAGAAGGAATTTGATAATAACATAGAAGCTAGCATGCTCAATAGACATTAGCCATTATTGTTAATGTTGTTGTGCCTCATGATTGTCAATTTCATACTTTATGATTAAAATCATCTTAGGTGGGCCTTCTCTGGTGGTCCAGTGGGCAAGAGTTTGCCTGCCAATGAAGGAGACACAAGTTTGATCCCTAGTCCAGGAGGATTCCACATGTTGTGGGGAACCTAAACCTGTGCGCCACAACTACTGCGCCGGCGCTCTAGATCCCGGGCACCACAACTAGAGAGTACTCACAGCTCACTACAACTAGAGAAAGCCCACACGCCGCAGCAAAGAAGATCAAATGCAGCCAAAAATAAAAATAAATACATAAGATTTTTGAAAGAAAAATCATCTTAGAACACACATTTCACTCTTAAGATAGCCTTAGTTCAGTAGTTATATTTGTAGTGATGTAGGTTTAGGAGAGATGCCTTGATGTAAAGATGATCCATCCCACTAGACCCTGCCAAGGCAAGGATGAGAAAGGATCCAGCAAGAGAGGCTGTTTCTTAGAAACGCATAGTTCCTTATAGACAGAATTTTGGAAGAGCACAATGGGAATAGAATTCCTGATTCTCCTTAGTCACCATGGGCATGTTCAGGATGAGAGTTGATTTTTAAGGTAGGAAAGACCTTTAACACAGTGCAAGATCTGCAGGCCCCAGAAATACGTACCGAGTGACTGTGATGTACATGATGCCCTGCAAAACACTTAATAGCTAACAGGCAGCATTGCCAGAGTGAAAAGCCCCTGGCGATGGTAAAGACACTTCATTTTCTATGATGAAAATGATCTCTTCACTTTGTAAATTTACCTATATCTTATGGAGATGATTTTATCTTGAACATATGCCTTAGACATTTAAAAATAGGTATGCTGGCAGGTCCAGAATTCATTAATATTTGGCAAAACCTCTCTGTTTCTTATCAGTTTCAGTCTTCTGTGTTGTTTTATGGAATTAAGACCACAGAAAAATTTCTCTTTGTAGCCAGCAAGTTTTAGGCTTGCTACCACACTACTGATACTATAAATGGAAAGTTATTAGAAAGCCGGGCTTGCAGAAAAACATGCAGTTTTCTACTTTATTCTGCCTCTGAAAACCTGGCCAACAGGCACAAGCCACCATCAGGCAGCTGGACTGCTGACCCTCTTTGTAAACACAATATTTTAGTCACTCTTTATAGGCAACAGATAAAAGAAGCAGTTGCTACTTTTAAAATCCTTCTTCTTTCCTAATGTGTGGAGTTTAAAATTTTAAACACTCTTTTACTTGCCAAAGGACAAAATCTGCTTAAGGGCACAAACAGTTTAAAGAACAGGGGGCAATATTTTCCAGTATTTTAAATGTATGTTCTGTTGGACCCAATAATTTTGCATTTAAGATTTTATCTTGTAGATGTACACAAAGATGTATGTTTAAGATGTTTATTGCTGTAAAGTTTATAGAAAAAAAACCTGGAAACAATCTGTGTCTATAGTGTTAGGAAAATTTACTACCCTCATAATGGATATAGCTAAACTACTTAAAAAATTTATAAGTATTGATACGAACCAACCAAGATATATTCTTGAGAGAAAAGGGTGAGATGCAGACATTATGGGCAGGATGATTACATTTGTGAAAACTGATATTTACATACACTCATTCTGTATGCTTAGGAAATTTCTGGAATGATACAAAGTTGTTTTTTAATTTACTTATTTTAATGGAGGATAATTACTTTTCAATATTGTGGGGTTTTTTGCCATATGACTCGGCCATAGATGGAATGATACAAAAGTGTTAATAGTTATCCCTAAGGAGATAGACTAGAGTCTTATGGAGAAGAAAAACATTTTTTATTTTTCAAGTGTACCCTCATATACTGTTTG